GAATTATTATAAATAAGACAAAGAAAATAAAGTGGAGAGCAATAGACCTAAACTATAAAAACTGTTGGACTTCCCCCAGCTATTCTTGAATGTCCTAATTACTTGACCATTTAAGCCAGTGTAAGACTACTGTTGTATTGTAACTACTTTATGGTGCAGTCTAACTTACAGACCTTTAAACCAGTTTATAGTCTACAAAAACAAATCTTTTAATAGATATGCATGATTTTGCATGACATGATGGGTGATTGATTAATGGAAGAATAACAAGTATATGCACTATATGTATATGCACTGCATAGGGATGATAGGTATAACAAGACAAAGGAAATCCAGGGCGTGTTGCAAATTGACTTTTGTTTTATTACCTGACAGTCCTCAAATCTGATTGGTCGAGCAGCATTACAAGAGTGATTCTTCAATTATTAATTCAACCGATTCATTGAAAACCCCTGAATCATTCAGGAATAAAAGAAGTAATAGAAATGAGTAATTGAATAATTAGGCTTCAACTCACCTAGACAGAAATAGAGGCTATAGTGAGGGCAGACGTGAAATACAGTCAAGGCAGACAGTTCTCACTTTGCGTAGTGGATCAGACAACCTTGAGATCATATTGTGTGATTTACACTCATGCACTTTGTTGTTAATAAACTGGATGTAATATAAGTTCTGTTGCTTTTATCTGAAAATAAACAAGACACCCAAAGTACTTTTAATTCCATCCAAAAGTCGTGTTTTCCATCTGTTTTTAGTTTAGTATTTTAGATTTTAGGCCTCGAGTGAAACTCTAAAAAATATGTGATATTCTCTATTAACTTTAGCCAATTCAAAAATCGATTAAAATTCGGGAACCTCTCTGATTGGTGGATCTCACAGTGGGTCCCAGCGAGTCATAATATGCAAATGCCTCTTTAGAGTGGCTAGTTAATGGAGTTTCGTTCAGTCTGTTCCCAAAATCAGCCAGCAATCTACAAATAATTAATATAAATAATAATTATTTTAGAAGAGATCAATACATCACAGTTGTTTAAACCAAAGAGCATTAAGATGTGTCATCATCAAGTAATTTCCCATCGTAACTTTTATTAGTGCAGTCGGGGGAGAGCAACTGCACAATCTGGCATGGCCGCAGAGAGTTTTTTGACATGTCAGCATGACATCAGAACAAGTCGGACAACACTCGGACAGATTTATAATCTACATGTATCTCATGGTGATCACCAGTGATTAGTTCTGCACAGATTTTGCTCATCTCAAACGAGCCTATTCACTTGTGCGATGTGTTCAAAACAGAATCATTTAGGAATAAAACAAGCGATATAAATAAGTAATTGAACCATTCATTCAAGTTGTTTGTTCAAAAA